ATTTTAGGAATCTCTGTTTTATAAAGGTGGCTTTGGTTTTGGAGGGCTCTTAACTGAATTTGGAAGGGTTTCAGCTGGAGCAGAGTGTACCCCCAGTGCTGCCGGAGTGACAGAGCTGCCTAGCCGAGCAAATCCTTGCCCAGAGAAGGATGCTTGCTGTTTTTTCCACAGTCTTCCTCTTCTGCCTCCCCTCCCCTGAGACTCCTCACAGTCTTCCTGTCCTGTCCCCACCAAGGACCTGGAGCAACCAGATGCCACAGAACAGGTTTGAAACTGGTCAGCAAATGTAGTGCAGGTTGAATTATGGGAGGAGCAGAAGCATTTCTGGGGCACATTCTTTTCACAGTGGGGTGAATTAGAGCCTCGCTGCACACCCCTGGAGTTCACTTTGCAGGAAGAAACGTGGCATCTTTTACGTGTTTACACCATTGGACAGTAAACTGGACAAATGACCCCTGTCTTCCCATGGAGTCATCTTTATTTGCTGTCCCTATGGGTGGTTTGTTGTGTATGTAATAGAGTACAGGCTGGAGCCCTTTAGATGGTTGTGCTAAATGTTGCAGTAAAGATTAGGTTAAATTTAAAAACCTCTGTAAAAGCAACAAATGATCCGAGTTTGAAACCAGTGAGCCAACTGTAACGTGTTTGATCAGTCTGGAGTGTGTAATGGCCAAACACTGGGGAAGGCTGCACCAAAGGGGACCTCCAGTCCTGGCAGGGAACAGTCCAGAAGACAAGCTCGGGTGAGCTGCTTATCAGATCATGACAACCCATTAGCTAAAGGAAGGACAGGTCTCCCTAGGAAGGTGGAAAGAAATCAGAGTGTGTGTTAGTTTTACATATTTCTCTTCTGTTTGCTGTTCATGAACATGCAAACCTGTATTTTGCATTTTTTATGTCTGTTCCATTTACTGGTAAATTATTTCATGTCAAAGTCTACCATTTGATTTTTTGGTAGCCCTGAAACTAAGGGCTTTTATCCCAGTACAGCTTTGTAGATCTCGATAAAAGAGAAGGCCCCATAACTTTCCAATCTGTCATGTAACTTAAAGTAGCAGTTGATTCAGAGATGCATGAGAACATAGAGTTCAAGTTTAGAAATCTGGTTTAAATGCTGGATTTAAAAAAAAAAAACCCTATTTTTTTCCACTAGCCTACAAATAGAAAGTGGAGTCATTTAGGCTACTTACTGACGTTTACGGAGGTCATTTTGCACAGTGCTGTAGGTGGTTGGGTCTGATTCAGTAAAACAAGCTAATAAAATTACACTCAGCTCCCAGACCAAAGCTTGTCTCCACAGACTCCACATGTGAAGGCAGCTGATGCTCTTGTAGGAACTGTACTCCTCATCCCAACCCACTCAGTCTCGGACCTAAAAATTCCCTCTGGCATCGCCCCTGGGTCTGGTGCTTGTTAATCACAGCCAGCACCCCTGTAGGATGGTAGCAAAGGGAACCAAGCACCCTGCTTCTGAGGTATTTTGCTTGTAGAAAGTCATTTGCTTTTGTTTTCCTCTGGAGTTAGAACTTTTAATGATGAGTAAAACATTGCAATATAATCTACCTCTATTTGTAGTTTGGCTGCTGGAAACCAACGAAAAATTCCTTAATCAGCCTCCATCTTGTCATTAGCACTATAGGAAAGCAAATATGTTTTCACAGTCAAGGAGCAAGGAACAGATGAGCTGTAAGATCTGTGTTTGTGCAGTACTTCAACATTTCCAGGTTTATTGATGCATCAAAATCTTTCCAGTGGGCTGTAATGAACAGAGCCATGAGAGTGAGGAATGTGTTGTGTCGTGTCAGTGTGACTGGGCAGAGCAAAGCTGAACTGAATGAAACAGTTGGATGCTTATGCTTACAGGAATGAAGCTATTTAACCTCATGAGAATGTAATATTATTACAACTCCTAGAGAGTTAACCCAGATTGAAGGGGTTTTAGAATTTAGAAAAAGGAAGAAGAACCAAAAGAGGAGAAAATCCCCCCACAATATTTTCTCTTCTAAGCATCTGCAGCTTTGTAATGTGTTGTTTTGTTACAGTAATTCTCAGCTGGGCAGTCATATGTACCTTGTTATTATGCAGACTGTGAAATTAGAATTGTACTACAGTAGAGGCTCTACCTATTTTCTAGCTGCATATATTTCTGTAAAAATTACCATACGAGGTATGCAGTTATATTCTGCATATGAAACAGTGTGATTTTGGAGCTTGTGTACGAATCTTGGTGCATTTAGGAGCATTAATAGATATTTTCTGATTGCAAAGAATGTTGCCTCTGATCAGGAAAGTGGTGGTGAGACATCAACTGCATCCTTAGAAGAATCAATGGAGTTCTCAAAGCAGTTTTAAGTGAAGAGCATCGCACTTTGCTATGGGTGAAGCATAACATCCTGAAGTATCTAATCAGCAAAAAATAATGGTAATATTCACAGTGATTCCCTGGTTTGTTGGTATTTATTTAACCTTTTAGAGGCATAAGGTTGCTCTCCTGGAGATATACATGTATTACTTGCAGGCACTCAGATTTAAGGTCTGTGGGGTCCAACAACTGAGGGTCCAACAACTAAACCAGAATATCCTTTCATTTTCCTTCCCTATTAAAGCACTGCAGGCAAATACATTTCTTCCTGAAGATGTCTCAAATCTCACAGTCTTATGCTGAACATGCTGTCAGCTTTTGATAGGGTTTCACTGACTAATTCCCTGGCATTTTCAGTCAAAACTGATCATCCTCTCTGATCTGATGATTCACCATATCTTTAGAAATTTGTTTATCAAATAGCTGCTACCTGTACCCGATGGCTTTTAGAAGGACTCCTGCTGACCTGCTGCTCTTATCTGTAGAACCTGTGCTCAGCTTTTCAAAACATATTCATCTGTACAAGGGCTTTGGAGTTAATGTGCTGTGCAAAACAGCCTTTCATTCATCCAGCTCCTCTCAGTGGACAGGTGTATGGACAGTAAGTGCTGTCCCTACATGTACTGGGAGGGGGTAACCCTGGCAGCTGGAATACTACCATGTCAAACCCAGTTGGTAATATAAGCAGAGAAAGGCAGAGACATGGTGCTTTGCTCTTCACTGTAATCAGGGTGTGTGTACTGCCAGCAGCATACTTTTTATTTGCAAGCTCGTCTGGAGGGTATTTTAGGACTCAACACAAGGCAGCTACAAAATCCTTGTAATTTTATCAAGCACATTAGACTAGTGATGGCGAGAGCCTTTTTTCCAGCAGTAGATGCTGCCACAGACACATGAATAAAGCAGTCCTCCTTTCCCTAAAACAATCCTGTATTTGAAGTCTTTCTCAATATAGACAGAACTCTTATCTTTGGATTACTCAATAACTATGCAACTCAATAGCTAGAGAATGGTTCTGAATTATGAATGAATGCTTTGTTTAAAATCCAGTAGCTTTTTCTTTTTTTTTTCTATTTTGCAGAAGCTTCTCTGGTGCACTTCTCTGCTCAGACTTTACCAGAGCGTGGAGTGATTTTATCTTTACAGAAATTTGCATTGTAATCTTGATAGTGATTGTGAACATTAACTTTATAATCCTCACTGGGGAAATGGAGTGATGAAGTATAGGTACAGTAATAACCTGGAATAGAAAACAAGAAGCAGAAGGGAGTAGGGTGTAGATTGAAAAACTAAAGGGAAGGGTAAGGTTAGGCTAATGGGAACGGGGTTGTGGTAAGGGATCTCCCAGATCTTCTGTTGGGACTTTGCAAGGATTGGGAGCAAGTGAGGAAAGCAAGGCTCCTGTGCTTCTCCCTGGTCCTCCTGGGATCCAGGGAAGCCATCAGTCACTGCACGGACAAGTAGCAGCGTACCTGTCATCATGCACATGGAAGTGACCACAGTTAGTCATCCTTCCTGCACATCCCTGGCCTCCAGGCATTGGTACTGGTGAGAACAGCAATGGGGGTGCCTGTCAAGAACAGGGCAGTTCACAGTGTCTTCAGCCATTGAAAACATCTCTATCCCCCCTAGGTGGGTTTGTGGAGTTTTTTTCCATTTAGCAGAGGATGTTCTGTTGAGAAGGATGTCCTCCTCAAATAGATGCCCTGCATTCTTAACACCGTTTCTGCACTCTGAGTAAATGGCTTATTGTACTGCTCACATACACTAGGGTCAGTTATTTTAACCTGCTAATAGAAGTATTTGTATAAATGTGAATTGATACTTTTCTCCCAAAGCCCCACTGGCATTTAAAAGCTGGCTCTTGTGTATTTCAGTAATACTGCTTATGCTAAGCAGGAAAAAATCACGAGTCAAACCCTATAAAATTATGACTAACTTTAAACTGGAGATTTTAGAACAGCGTAGATATTATACTTTATTTAATATAATATATCCCTGCTCAGTGAGGTCTGTCCATCATCACAATTGTCTGTGTTTCATAGTCTGCTGATTTCTTTAGTAAAACTAGTCAAGTCTCCTTTCCAAAGTTCTTCTGCCCCTTATTGCCTCTTCTAGGAACCTGCTGCTTTGTTTGTGACCTGAAATATCAGAATTGTTAGTGATTACGATTACTGTCTCGGGATTCATATTTCTAGTCTTCTGCCACACTGATCTTGATTTCCCTAGCCCTGTTGTGGATAAGTCTTTATTCCCTTCGCGGAGGTATCTGATCTTGCTGGAGGAGGGAGTGGTGCCCTCTTCTTACCACTGCAAAGTGGTGATGCTCCTCCTGTTCCCCAGGGCAGAGACAGAAAAGGAAACAAAGCTACTGTTTGCACAAGGTAAGGAAGGATGGGTAGGAGAGGATGCAAAGGGTTTGGCCTAGGGAAGAGGTCCCACAGGGAGGGGAGGGCTGCCTGGGGAAGAAACAGGAGAGAGGAGGGATCTTTCCTGTGGACCTTACTGACATCATGTCCAAACATCACACCAAGACTGGAGATGCGTGGCCAGGACTCAAGATTTCTGGCAATGGGCAGAGGACTGTTCTTCTCTGGCCATGGCCCTGATGTTAACCATGTTGCTTTGTTTACTCTAGATACACTTTATACTGCTGTTCAGTCGGCAGGGGAAGTTAAGGCTTCAGAAATGGTACACGACACTACCTGATAAAGAGAAGAAAAAGATCATTCGAGAAATTGTTCAGATTATTTTGTCTCGCAATCAAAAAACAAGTAGTTTCGTTGACTGGAAAGACCTCAAGCTTGTTTACAAAAGGTGTGAGTAATTTTATAAGAACGTGTAATTATTATTCATATGAATAACACATGCTAGAAGATAAGAGTAAAGGCTCACTTCAAGAAAAGCAGCAAACAACACTCTTAGTGCTAGGCTCAGTTAGGAGCCTGCCATCTAACTGTGTGTAACAATGCAGTGTCCCTGGACAAACCAGCAGGGTAAATTGTGGGGTGCAAAATACTTGTACAATTTGTCAAATGAGAAAAATGGGAGTAGTCTAATAAGTATTGGTGGTTAGAAGGCTCTAGACTTCACTGTGCCTTCTAATTCAACGAGGTAGCCTGCTGGGATGTGTGCTGGGCTTTATCAGGCTCTTTGGGGGGTTGCAAGAACTGTTCTGAGGTACTTCCAACACTTTGCCAAATTTTGTCTTTGAAATATTTGTTGCTCTTGAAAGTGTTAATTCCCATTTCCTTTTCCAAAGAAATCACTGGTTCCCAGTTACATGATACCTAACATTTACTCCCTGTTCATTCTTCTAAAGTTGTAGCAAACAAAAGTAGCTTTAAGGTATAGCTGGACAAATTAAGCAACATCTCCCATATAGCAAAAATTGAGTTCCATGCAGTGAAAGGAGGGATATAAACATCTGATCAGCTTCTGTGAGCCAGCCACAGCACCAGCGAACTGAGGTAGATCGTTCTTGCATCTTAGGTTGGTTTAAACATAAAAGTTTTGCTGCAAGTTAGTTGTGAAGGTTGTTTGGTCTAAGCAGTTTCATGCATTCTGGCCCTCTGTCATTTGATAGCCAGCAGGCTTACTGAGATGTGACTCCTTTCACCTTTATTTTTGCCTTTTTTAATTAGGAGGAGTAACTTGTCCTGCAGTTTAATTAACCCCACTTACTATAGTGCCATTACAGCAGGTGAGAGAGACCTGAAAGTACTACTGATTTATTGTTTATTTTATCCCAACCAGTGTTGGAGGTATCCCACTTTACCAAGGGTGGAGTTTGTTGGTCTAACTAAAATTTGTTTAAATTCTCTGATCTTTTAAAGTGTTTTCTGGGATACTATAAGAATGAAAGGAAATGTTTATTTTAGAGACTAGATAGGAATTAACTGTCATACGAGTAACTACTAAGAGACAAGCAGAGCACTGAGGTCCCAGCTATTCACTCTCATGTTTTTGCCTCTGTTTCCCCAGGTATGCCAGTTTGTATTTCTGCTGTGCAATAGAAGACCAGGATAATGAGCTCCTGACACTAGAGGTTGTTCATCGATACGTAGAGCTCCTGGACAAATACTTTGGAAACGTAGGTTTCACTTTCTCCCATGAACTCATTCCTGTGTCTGATAAACAAAGCTATGTGAAGCTCATTTACTTCACATTTCCATCTGCAGTACTTGCCCTGCAGGCTTTCTCAATCCAGAGTGAAATTCATTATTAGAGTAATTTATAAAATAGTGCTGAAACAATCATAAGATTGTTTTTCCATCCTTTCTTCCCCCTCCTCCCCCCCTCAAATTAATCTTGATACTTAGTATGTCTGTCTTGGAATAGAATTTGAAGAGAAAGCTTGAGGAAAATTACTTTTAAAAAAACCCTGGGGTAAAGTACTTTAATTCTCCCTCCTGATGTCTTCAGATATACTGGTTTTGTTTGCTTTGTAATACTGCGTAACACTTAAGGACACAGAACGAGGAAAAAGATAAACTGGGTGTGTTTTCAAAGAAAAGACCTGAAGAAGGTCCAAGTAAGTCTTTTAGTAAGTCTTTGAAGACTACAAGAGACCCATCTTTTGTATGAATATTTTTGAAACTATCCTGACTACCTTAATTCATCTCATTTCAGTCAGTGTGCCATGACTCGTGTCTGTACCACCTCAAAACACAGCAGTGGTTGGTGGCTGTCACTAGGCAGGGAATTTGTCTTGCTCAGTGAAACCCATATTGCAAAGGCTATGTAGGACCTGTGATAAGGTTAGTAGGCTAGGAAGTCTGCTTTGTTCTCTGAGAGCCAGTATGGATTTAATAATAAGTGGAATGTCTTTGCTGTAAGTCTGTTTATGTGAAGAGGCTTCAACATTACATAATACACAATTTCTTTCTTCACCCTGGTACCTGCCACAAGAGTGCATATGTTGAGTATATTTGATTAACCCAACAACTTCTGACCCAGGAGTGCTTATAATGTTGTAAAAGTGGTTTAAATGTGATGTGTCCTTTTCTTCTGGCAGGTGTGTGAGCTGGATATTATCTTTAATTTTGAGAAAGCTTATTTTATTCTTGATGAGTTTATAATTGGTGGAGAAGTACAAGAAACTTCAAAGAAGACCGCAGTGAAAGCCATAGAAGACTGTGACATGTTGCAGGAGGTAAGGCAGAGGAAGACAAAAGGCAAACACATCATCTTCCTACATCTTCCTTGTTTGACAGGAGCTGAAAACACAGCTAAGCACTTCTGGTATTTAATTATCCAAGTGTGTCTTGCATTCAGTTTCAACAGGTACAACGGTGCAGTTACATAAGCTTTCAGTTCAACCCTCTTGGAATCATCTGGAGACTCTTTATATGTGGCTGTTGCTCTCTTGCAGTTTAACTGCTAGAATTTCACAGATAGTGTATTAAGAAATAGTTTAAGATGCATCAAAGATATTTCTATAAGATCATATTTTAAGATTATATTTTATGTATAGATATGTATATATAAACATGGAAAAATCTCTTGTGTTTCACTAATACATTGGAAACAGATGATGTACTATTAACATTTAAAATTGGAAAGAGTACATGCTGGCAAACTCCACTTCCATTCAGAAGCACCTGTGTAGTTCTGCCAGGCACAGATATGTAACCTTTATTCAGAAACCTACAGAGAATTCAGGAATTCTCTGTAACTGGTGTTGTGCCAGGAATGGCAAAAGCAGTTGCATGGGATGGATTTGTTTCATTTTTAACTCGATAGTGAAGGATCCATCCTAATTCTGAAGGAAGCAGCACATGGGTAGAACTAGCTCAGGACACTCTGTGTGAGTTGAGCAGCTTTCCCAGTGCTCTGTCATGTGCACGTGGAACTCAGCCAGCTGTGTACAGAGGCCACTCGGCACGATGAGTTTAGCCACAGCTGTGGTATGTCATAATTTGAGGATCAGATTCTAAACCACTCTGTTACATGTTTTTAAAGCAGAATTATTTCTACATTTTAATTAATCTGATCTAATTCCATGCAAAACTACAACTGTCCTCAAGGAGGACAAGAGGTTTTGTATGAATGTTACTGTACCACTCCATAATGCATCAGTTGTTTCTTCTTTTTTTTTTTTTCTAGACAGTGGAAGAATACATGAACAAGCCTGCATTTTAATGTTAAACTACCTGTAAAGAAAACTGCTGTATGCACCTCTACAATGCACTTCCTGAAATTGCTTCCCAAAGTGCCAGATTCTCAGAGAAATACCAAAAACCAATAACTGAAGGGGTTTGTTTGTTTGTATAATGGTGAAGATGAAGGTCAGCTAATGTAGCAAAGGGTTTAACAGTTCTGTACTTTGCATTACTCTGCATATGAGTTTCCCAGAGTTGTTATTACCCTGGGTGTAGTTTTCTCTTCTCCTTGCTGGACTGAACTCTTGTTTTTTACCATGTCTTTTAGCTACAGATTTTGTCATCATAAAATGCTACTCTGACAGTACTTTGAAGAGATATTTTTACTAGTTTTGGTTCACTGCTGACTGTATGACTCTACTTTTGTACAAATGTCCATTATTTTGAATGTAAGGATTATTCTGCTCTAATAATAATTTTTTTTCTAAAAGCCAAATTGTTGTGGACCCTGATTTCATAAGCTTTTTGTGACAAGATTAACCCATCTAGCATAAGAAGAAATATGCATCTTTTTGGGCCAGCCCACTTCTTTTCATGATCTTCCCTCTCTTTTCTGCTCTAGTCTGCTAATAAGACTGCTCCAACTGCTACTAGAGTGCACTCCATGCACGTTTGATCTGGGAGACTGTTCTGACTGGAGGTAGGCTTCTCCTAGGATTAATGAATCCTTTCTGCTGCTGCATGTGGATGGCCTGTCTCTGTCTTCCTCCTCATTTTCCTATCCCCTTCCTAGATCCCCTGGACCTGTGCAAAGGCTCCAAACTTTGGAAGTGTGCAGCTTGAGAGCAGGAGATAACCTGAAGAGGAAAAAATTAGTCTTTGGGATTTTAGCGTGAAGATAATCTCATATATCATTTGGTATCCACCAAAACCCATATTTCCCTTTAAAATTTTCCAGTCTCAAATTCACACACCTATTGGGATGATCAGCTTTCAAGTAGTTGAACATGACCCATTTTTGTGAAGATTGGACAATTAAATCAGCTTTTTTTAACTTTGCAAGCTGCAAAAAGGGTAAAATAGAAGAGTCAGCTGGGCTGTGTCTCTTACTGTATCTTAAAACATTGTAGCTGTGTGTGTGTGGAGCCGGCTGTGTTAACATAACTGTCTTCCAGTGCAATTTGGACCCTATAAACTGATTGAACTGGCTTCCTTGGAGAGAGAATTTCCTCCTTCAACAGAATTCAAAGCTCAGGGAAATTCTCTTTATTAGCCCATAACTCACAGCTAGATGTTTTGTCTCTGTCAAATCATGAAATTATCCTGTACAAAAATTAGGCACGTTATCAGACAAATATGCCAGAATGATCCAAGCACTGATTCACATTTCCAGTCAAGATATATTTCCTTGATTTCTGGGGTGTACAGTCAGTATTTTCTTTCAGGGCTTTTTCTAATCTTTAAATGTCCTGCATGCTTACTTTGATTTTTTTCATTGCTCCTTCTTTCCTAGTCCGTTTGTATCTTCCCAGGGAGGGGGACAGGGGTTGTTTGGAGGGTGGGGGCACTTTGACATAACACAACAACTGTGCTGATTGTCAGCCCCCTCTTCTGCCTGTGCTTCCTGGTCTGTTAGTAAAACTGTGACAAGCTGCTTCATAGCATCATGTTGCTCTTTTTATAATTACTTTATCCATCTGTTTTCTCTGCATTGATGTCAAAGGGATACTTTGAGCATTGAAAAAATAGTGAAATTGCTGAAGGGCTTTTAATAGCTCTGAAGACATCCAATTTAATAGTAAATTAATGAAATTGTATGAGTTGTATATTATTTTCTCATGGTTTGAAATGAAGTTTTTAAAAGTAGAGTGTTTAATTGATTAAGAAACCACTTCAGAATGTACAAAAAGGCTCCTTCTGCTCTTTGTAAGTGACTTCTATTCAGTGAAATCATCAGTAGTTTGATTTGCTTTTTCTCCTTTTTGGAGCCATGCTGTGATTCTCTGACTCTTGAAACTGTCATGTTGCTTGAATTCTGGATTATATAAAAATAAGATTTTCAAAAAGTTTCTTGGTATGAATAAGGATATCATAAACCTGTCTTTTCAGTCATTCTAAGGAGAGCTAGAAGACTTCTTTCCCTGTAATTTCAAATGAAGGAGAATTCCTTATGGAAAAAAATAATAGACTAGCTAGGGGTACTTAGCCATATCAGTATAGCATCTGAAATGAACAGTGTTGCCAAACTGATGTATCCAGTGTCAACTTGAGAAGTGTGAAGGAATTAGTATGGTTTCCTTGCTTAGTGCAAAAGTTTATTGGAATATGGTGTGCTTGTTGTGCCACCTGCCTTTGTACTACAAAATTGAATGGAAAGTATATGTCAAGTACTCTAAAGAACTGCTAAATTTTGTTCATGCTCTAAGAAACATCTTCAGTTTCCTGTTGCCTACAGGTGGGCTACACAAAGCAGGCAGGTGAGCATTAATTAATGTGAGTTTTGCTAGTGTCAGCCTGCATGTATGGCATACTTAAAACCAGATTGGTTTGAAGCATAAAACTTGTATTTATACTTTTTACAATCTTCAGTGAGAAAGGGATTACTCACCTGAATGGTTTTGTAATGGAATTCAGCTCAACCCAACTTTCCCAAAGGGAAGAAGCCCAAATGAAAGCCCGTTATTGTCGGGTTACCCTTAGGTCACTGTCAGAATGCCTGTGTCTCCATCTCTGTGGATCTCCATTGCCACCAACAGGACTCTGCATAGATCAGTGCACTGTGGAGCAGAGCTCATCAGAGGATTGATGTCTCTCTTGTTATCTTAGTTCCTTGATTTTTCTTAGAGCAGGAGATGCACGTATCTTTGTACATAATTGACAGAGCTGGGAAGCATTGCCCATTTCATTTATATTTGCTCTTTTCAACTTGCCTGACTATACCAGGCAATGCTCAGTGTAAAGTTTTCTGAGATGAGTTTATGAAATTATTAGCCAAAAAGGTATTAGCAGATTCCTTAACAGTTTTCCCCATTTCATCTCATCTTTTGCAGTTACCTAAACACTCACCTTGCTGACAAGCCTCAAGTACTTATGTCCTAGTTTGCAAAATTGTGTTTACTAAAATAACCATGAATCACGGTCATGTTGCTAGCCTAGATTCCCTTCCTTGCTTTTGCCAGCTGCATCTAACAAAGAGCTGCTTGATTTTCGTACGGGCATCTCTGCCTGGAGGATTCTTCTTGTGATCTTACTACTCACCAGCTGGGACAGAGCTGGTTCTCTGTCTGCTACTGTTTGCAACTCATGAGTTGTGACATCTTTGAACATGTGATGGCAATTAAAAAGAAGGAGACAGATATTAGACTGGGGTAAAAATAAGTGTAATAATGTCAAAAGGAATATTAAAAGTATGACAGATCATCATGAGTGAGAGGCAAGAGTGGCAGGATCTCATAGGATCCATTTTTGTAATTTTTGTTTTCTTTTTTCATTATGAATTTCTGAGTGTAATGGCTCATTGAAAGGTGTCAACTCTTACAAATAACTGTAGGGAAAAAAATTGACATTTAGGTTACCTCCCATCAGCCTTTGTTTAACAAAGAGCCACTGAAAGGGAATCTTGAACGTGTTCCCCTCACTGCTCCTGAGAAGCCCCGCTGTGCTTTCAGAAACTCAGGTGGGAAACTTACAGTAAAGTTTGGATGTGATTCTGTGACTGAATTTTCACTGGACAGAATAATGCTGTACCTATAAAAGGATGATTTACCTTTTTTTCCTTTATTTTACAGTCCTTTGAATAGATAACACATTTTTCTATCCTCTGCTTAGCACTGTGCTGTATCGGAGTAATACAGCGTGCAAAATCGGTACATTAGGTGTCAGGAGGGACTGGTTTATAAGGAAAGATTACAAGAGTGTAACTGTGAGTGGGGCTTTCAAAGATACCCAGAGACATTCAGTTAACAGTCCCCTTAAAATAACAGTTCATATAGAGAGAGAACTCCTATCCCTGCCTGTCCATGACGTTCTGCTCCACTGAAAATGCGTTTGAAAATATTTCTGTCAGCACAGCTCCTGTGTGAGGGGGATTTTGCTCTCACCCTGCATAAGATGACTAAACCCAAAGGTCTCAGTTCTGCAGTTAAATCCCTATGGTGGGGTTTTCATTAACTTTATCCAGTGTCTTTATGAGCATGGAGTCTGCATCATCATCTTGCATCATTGTATTTTCAATTTAGATGGCTGCCAGAATTTGTGAGCTCAGACCAGGTAACAGCATCCTTCTGGGGGAGTTGATGACATTCCTACTAAATTCAATAGCCTGCATGTTCCTTGGCAGGGTCACAGTACAAATAAAATACAGCTGTTGATTTAAATGTCTGTTAGGATATTTCAAGGATTTTTTTTTCATGAAGATAGCTGGTCTAGGTTAAAGTATAGTAGTGAAAGCTTAGTGTTCGTAGCAGAAATAACGGGCTGTGCTCCCAGAGAGTTAATGTTTGCTGTCATGGAAACCTGTTGCCTTGGAACATGACTAATGAGACACAGGCTAAGGGAAAGGAATAACCTATTCTTCAAATTAGTGTTTAGCAAAGCCTAAGCAAGACCAGCAGTATATATTATCATGAATTGTAGTTACTTCAAATTCTGTTATCTAGTTCACTTAACTTTATCTTTTTATTTACTCATTCAACAGCTCTTGTAACCACATGTTTTCATGCAAAGAAAATAGTTAAGAGCTAATCCTTCGGCTGTCTAGAAGTAGATAGCATCCTATTTGCATTCCTCTTTCCCAGTACACTACAACTTTTGTGGAAGGGACACACTGAAAACAAACTTGTGGCTGGTCTGGAATGCCCCCCCAGTAAGGCAGGGGACAGTAGCAGTTTGGCTGAGGACTTTTGCCTTTGACTGTAGCTGTAGGTTTCAAAGACAGTCCAGGAATATGAGGTCAGGAACATTTCTGTGTACTTACCCATATGGAAAAATCTGGTTACCCCTGTGTATCAGTGTGGTAAAACTGCTGCTCTCTAATGCTGAAAGGAAACTTGGTGGGGGGAATGATCAGAAGGTATTTTAAAGTTGACTTCAGCATTCTGTCATCTCCTTTTAAAATTGCCACTGAGAATTTTCTGGAGTTCCTACTCCAAACCCAGCATCTGTCTTTACTCACCAGGCTCTGCAGTGGAGAATAAGAGTGCTGATGATTTTTTTCCTGCAGAGGGAATTTGGTGTGTCTGTTGTGAAAAACAATGCTGAATGTAGAATCCCCAGTTACACAGGGTGACAAATTCATTAGAACTTGCTGAGGGTTTCAGCTGCTCTCTGAACCAGGATCTTGCATGAATAAATTGTCAGCAGCTTTAAGTCTCCCTGCCTTGTGGAGATCACGCTTCAGGGTCCTTCTGCAAGCTCACAGTGAGGAGTCAGCCTTAGCTGAGCTGAGCCAACAATGACAAGTCACAGAGGAACATCTCCACAGAAGTTTCAGGTGAAAGAATCTGTTCTTTTTTACT